ATAAATTGTAGTAATAAAAATTTATTAGATGTAAGTTTCACATTATTAATGAGACTAAGGTTACATACAAAATCCCCACGGGTATTCCCCGCACTCGTAAAATCCCCACGGGGGGGGGGGGGGGGGGGGGGGGGGGGGGGGGGTGTACGAGAAGGAATTTCATTACCCGTGCAGGTGCGAGTGCGGGTATGGGGAGTGGGGTGGGATTGCGGGGCGGGGGATCACAGGAATTGAACAAAGAAATAAGCTTTGATATACGCATGCATTATTTGAATTGAAACTCCCAATAGTGTTTGCCTTTTGTTCTCCATTGTTTATCTACTTACTTTGTTAAAAGACACATACGTGTATACAGATGCAATTAATTAATACATAATCACCAAAAGCACATATGGAGCACCTAGCCACCGAATTGGTTGTAACTGCCCATACGAATAAAACATAAAGACAATAATAAAATAATATATGAGCACCAATTGTATACACTAAGATTAGTGTATATATACATGCAGTTGGTCACACAAAATGTATAATATATATTCATTATATGAATAAGCACATGAATTATGAATGCATAAACTAATAATATGTGATACTTAGCTTTGCATGTAAGTGGTATAAAATGCAGCAGTTGGTGTTCATGTTGTAACAATACCACCGCCTTAGCCTGAACATCGTAGCAAATTGACAAGTGTATCATATACATGGTTGGGCGAGATATCAAATTCACCATTGTTAGCATGAATTCACTTCTATATTGTTGGAAAGTATAAGTTGATAAAGTGAAAAATAAATAACTGTTGTGACGTGGTATAACCACTGTCATAGAAGCGAATTCGTCGCTACCGATGCAGGCTCACAACTGCGACGTCACCCCCGAAGGTTAACACAGCAATCCCCACCTCTGTGCACCGGGAGCAGGGATTGGAACATACACAACATTCTCAGAGTGGAAAGAGGACAGAAGAGTTAACAAGACAATGTTTGTCTGTGGGTCCTAACTCAATAATACCCACCTTAAATAATAAAAGGTCAAATAATTAGAGGGCCATATACTGTCTAACAAATCTTAGTCATTCACCACTTTGTGGTGAATAGTTAACCAAGACTAAGTTATCAGTAAAATATTGACCACACACTTGCATTTTTCCAATCAATTGCAACAGCTAATCCGATTACTATCTGGTGCATGTTTGGTTAACTACTCGTAGTCCAAGTTCCATCAACATAGTCAAACAAAAGGCATATGTTTACCTACTCCACAAACTTTTGATATAGACGATGATAGCGATATACGCCCGAGGTCCGAATGTCTCACGACCGGATAACCACACGATCGTCCCACCGAGGCCGTGTGGCCTGCCCCGACCGACCGGAACCGGGAATCCGCGGGGTGCTCCGGGCGGCGGGGTCTCCCCGGGATCAAAACATTAGGCGGACGGACCCACCGGTCGATGTCAGTCGAAGTTCGGTTGAGAAGACGCCACTTAAGGGGAGAGAAGTCAGATCCTGGGCGCCGTGTGGCAGGTGGTCATACGACCACTGGCGGCGCCCGGTGCATGTCCGCCACGTGTCCGCCATGCCGGAAGCCCGGCAGCACCTACCTTTAGGACCCTATATATAGCGCATTAAATGCATTGTGGAGGGGACTTTTGGCAGAGGCAAGACGAGAGCTTCCCGACCCACTAGAGTGATCCGAGCCTTGCCCGCGCCCGTACAAATACATCACCCTGTATTAGCAGTAATCATTTTGGCGCCGTCTGTGGGGATCGAACTAAAAGTCGCCCGGCAAAAGCGAAACCGATCCCTAAAAATGTTCCCATTCATGGACTTCAACAACGACGCGGAAGCCGAAGAGAGCTCATCGGATCTCCGCTCACAGATGAATCCACGAATGGACCTCAATACACCGCCGGGAAGAGGGCTAACCCCAGACCCGGTTAATTTCATCCAACCAGGACTAGCATTCCCAGGCGTGTCGGGACAAATGCCATTCCAGTACCCGATGTATCCCGCCGGAATGCTCGATCCCGCTTACCCGTATTGGCAGAGCCCACCGCGTTTCTTCGGAGCCCAGTATCAGTACCCCCCAAGCCCGGGCGACTATCAGCCGTACATTTCTATGCCAGTACCAAACATGCCGAACGTGCCCGAACCGGGCCAATCAGTAGCGTCGGCATCGGCGGCGGCACCCGAGCTCAATCCGAGCAACGACCCGCCCGATCAAGACTGGGACCGGGAGGAGCACAAGAGCGGGGGGCTGAAGAAGTCGCTGCGAGAACAAGTTCTTTCGTACGCCTCCAACCGTCCGTGCATCAGCAGGTCGGAGCCCGACAAGAGGTGGAGGAATCCGTAAACGCCCCAATATCCGGCCATAAAGAAGTATCTGGAGAAGCCAGTAGTTGTTGGTCCAGGAGGCTGGCTCGACGAGCTGCCGACCGAGAGGACCCGCAAAACGAGGCCAAAGGACTGTTGCAACAAGTCCGAGAAGAGTTCAGCAAGTGGAAGCGGGAGCACGGCCACCGATCATCCGAACCTGAAGTGCCCCTATTGCGCAACCCGTTCACGGCTGATATCATGAGCCTGTCGTACCCCCATGACTTGCGCATACCGGGAAATAAAGGTTACGATGGGAAAACCGACCCGGAGGCCCACATCAACTCCTACTACGGAAACATGCTGATGATGGGAGTGACCGACGCAGTAATGTGTTGGGCCTTCTATTCCACCTTGTCAGGAAGGGCGGCCGATTATTTCAAGACACTAGAACCCGGTTCAATCGCTTGTTTTGCGGAGTTAGCGAAGAAATTTGTGCACAAGTTCGCCACGTCCAAAGAAGTGCGAAAACACTTCACGTACCTTGAGAAAGCCAAACAGCTGGAGGGCGAATCTCTGACTGATTTCCTGGTCAAATGGAAAGCCGCGATCGGCGAAGTCGAACCTCTCGACGACCGGACATCGATCAATGTGCTTCACTCCAATTTGCGAGCAAGAGCCCTATACCAAGAGTTCATTCTGCACCCCCCGACCACCTATGATGAAGCAATCCAACGAGTGACCGACTACGCTAATGCGGGCGAAGCAAACTTCGCAAAGCAACAATAGGAAGCCGGGGGCAGCCGGAAACCACCGGGCTGGCAGGAGGGTGGACGGTCGAACGATAGACCTGGTAGAGGCGGGGGAAGGCTGCCCGACTTCACACCCTTAAACAGGCCGGCAGTCGACGTCCTCCGGTTCGCGCAATCTTGCAACATGATCCAGCTTCCGAAACCTCAGCGCGAGGGCCGTGACAAGACGAAGTACTGCGCATATCATCGCAGCAAAGGACACGAGACGGAGGATTGCACCACTCTGAGGCAGGTGATAGAAGAGCTGCTGCGATCGGGCAAGCTCACCGAGTTCACCACCAAAAAGGAGGAGAAAAAGTCAACCTGGAAGAACCCATTCAAGAAGTCGAACAAGAACAAAAAGGACAAGGACCATGACCGGGATCCCGATTCTCGACAGTCGACTGGAAAGCAAGTTATCCATGTCATCTTCGGCGGTCCAAAGGAAAACCCTGGCTCTTGGGAAAGATTTCCGATCCGATTGATAGGGTCGGAGCCAAGCGATAAAAGGCAAAAGCTGGAACCAATCACGTTTACCCCGAGCGACATGCCCGAGGGAGAGGACTGCCACACGGAAGCGTTGGTCGTCACAATCGACATTATGGGGACCGACGTCCATCGCGTCATGGTGGATACGGGCAGCAGTGTAAATCTCTTGTACATAGACGTCTTCCAGAAATTAAAGCTGGATCCGATCGAGCTGACTCCGATTGGGACCCCTTTATCTGGATTCACAGGCAATACCATCCATCCGGAAGGATAGATAACGTTGCCGGTGGAAATTGGCAGCCGACCCCGGACGGTCAAAACCTTGATGGAATTCATCGTCGTCAACCTCCGATGCGTCCACAACGCCATCCTGGGGAGACCCGCGATTGTTTCAGTCGGAGGAATCATCTCCATGCCCCATTTGTGCATGAAGTTTCCAACCCCCGAGGGAGTCGGGGTCGTCCGAGGGGACATCCGATTAGCCAGGAAATGCTATCAGAAAGCGGTGGACTGGAAGGAAGCCTGGAACTCTCAAGCAAATTCCATCTCTAAAAAAGCGGAGGCCGAAAGGAAAGAACAACCGTAACCGTCAGATGAGGTCGAAGAGATCCCTATAGAGATCAGCAGCCGGATAGGATGATCCGGATTGGTCGAAAGCTCCCCCCAACGCTCAAAGAAGCCATCTTGACGGTACTGCGGGAATTCTCAGATATCTTCGCTTGGGGAACGGAGAACATGCTAGGAATAGACCGATCGGTGATATGTCACCGATTGGCCGTCAGTCCGACAGCACGACCGGTAAAACAGAAGACAAGACATCTCTCTAACGACCGTCGGGAATTCGTCAGAAGCAAAATCAAGACTCTCACTGAGATCGGACATGTCTGTCCGGTCGTTTACCCCGACTGGGTTACGAACGTAGTCCTAGTGCCCAAACCACCGACTTGGCGAATGTGCATCGACTACACGGACCTAAACAAGGCTTGTCCACTGGACCCGTACCCTCTCCCAAGTATACACCAGATGGTCGATGACACGGCAGGGGCGGACCTCATGAGCTTCATGGACGCATTCAAGGGATACCATCAAATTATGATGGCCGAAGAAGATGAAGCTAAGACGTCCTTCGTCACCCCGGACGACCTTTTCTGTTATCGGGTCATGCCCTTCGGACTCCGAAATGCCGGGGCCACGTACCAGAGAATGATCAATGCCTTGTTCGAAGGACAGCTCGGGCGGACGATGGAGGCATATGTGGACGACATGCTCGTCAAAAGTAATGACCGGTTGGATCACGCCCGAGATCTCTGAGCATGTTTCGAGGTGATGCGCACGTACCGGTTAGGTCTAAACCCAGCAAAATGTACGTTTGCGGTACAAACCGGGAAGTTCCTGGGATTCATGATGACGAAGAAGAGAATCGAACCCAACCCAGCTAAGGTGAAGGCCATCTTGGAAATGCAGCCGCCCACCACCATCCGGGAGGTCCAACAGCTGACCGGGAGACTGGCTGCCCTTAGCCGATTCTTGTCTAAGTTGGCGGAAATGGCGTTGCCTTTCTTCAGAACGCTAAAAAAGATCAACGGGTTTACTTGGGACGAGGAATGCCAAGCGGCGTTCAAAGAGTTGAAGGAGTACCTGATGTCCCCGATCGTCCTCTCCAAGCCGGAGCCGGGCGAAGACCTGGACATCTATCTTGCCGCCTCCGACCGGGCCGTAAGTGCTGTACTATGCCGCACGGATCTTGAGGGCATACAACGACCGGTCTATTATGTCAGCCATGCTCTCCAAGGCCCGCAACTCAGATACTCCCGTTTGGAAAAGATGGTCTTTGCCCTCTATGCAGCTGCGAAGAAGCTCACCCCTTACTTCCAAGGGCGAGTCGTCCGCGTATTAACCGACCAACCAATTGGAGCTGTCCTCCGAACGGCCTCCTCCTCCGGACGCCTTGTCAAATGGGCGATGATGCTAACACAGTTCGCGATTGAGTACAGGCCCAGACCGGCCATTAAGGGACAGGCGTTGGCTGATTTTGTTGTGGAATGCACTGCCCGTGAGGCCCCGACCGCAGACCAGACGGTCCAAGACGCCTCATGGTGGGAAGCCGCTACCGACGGGTTAAGCAGCCGGAAAGGTTCAGGTGGAGGAGTTGCCATCACAAGCCCCGAAGGATTTAAGGTGTATTACGCTCTGATCTACCAGTTTTCTCCCACGAACAACGAGGCGGAGTATGAAGCCTTTGTCGCGGGATTGCAATTTGCAAAGGACCTAGGAGCGGAATACGTACAGGCCCGGACGGACTCGTCCCTAGTGGTGGGGCAGGTCTTAGGAGATTTCGAAGTCAATGGCGAACGTCGAGGGCGCTACCGAGATTTGGCGATCGAACGATTGACCGTTTTCAAAGCATACGCCGTGCGGCATGTCCCCCGGCTGGACAACGCCGATGCGGACATCCTCTCAAAATTAAGTGTGGAAGCACCAGAGCACATCTCCCGGATGGCCCGTGTCCTCTTCATACCATATCTATCCATCGACCACCGCCAGGTCATGCCGGTTCAACCGGTCGAGGAAAGTTGGATCACTGACATAATGGGGTACCTAGAGGACGGTAGGCTCCCGCCTGACGAAACGAGAGCGCGAAAGGCGAAGCTTTGAGCACCGAGATTCCAGATAAAAGAAGGGCGCTTGTACAGACGGTCATATGGGGACCCCCTCATGAGATGCTTGTCCGATTTCGAGGCAAAACTAGTCATGGACGAGCTACACTCGGGAATATGCTCGTCACACCAGGGCGGACGATCGCTTGCTCGACGAATAATGTTGATCGGATACTACTGGCCGTTGATACAGCTCGACTGTGAGAAACTCACTAAGGAATGCGATACCTGCCAGATATTTGCAAGGATGCCCGGACGACCGGCCACCTTCTACCAACCGGTTAGCACAGCTATCCCCTTCGCAAGGTGGGGAGTAGACATCATAGGACCGTTTCCTCCGCTGTCGGGTCGACGTAAATTCATCATAGTCGCCATAGACTATTTTTCTAAATGGGTGGAAGCGGAGCCCCTCGCAACGATCACATCACAGCGATGCGCCTGGTTCATGTGGCGGAACGTGGTATCAAGGTTCGGAGTACCGGTACAGCTCATAACGGACAACGGGAAGCAGTTTGAAGGACAATACTTCCAAAACTTCCTGGCCACGATCGGAACCAAGTCTATCCGTTCATCAGTCGCTTACCCTCAAGGGAACGGCCAGGTCGAAAACGCCAACCGAACCATCTTGGATGGCCTGAAGAAAAAGCTCCACTCGACTGGCCGGTCGTGGGAAGATGAGCTCCCGTTCATCTTGTGGACGTACCGCACCACGCCCAGAGAAGCGACCGGCGAGACGCCCTTTGCCTTGGTTTATGGGGCTGAAGCCCGGCTGCCGGTCGAAGCTTGGATAGCGACTCCAAGAGAAAGTGAATACCAGAGAGAAGAAAATGATGCCGCCCGGACCTTAGATTTGGATTGTGTTGAGGAAAGAAGGGAGTTAGCGGCCCGGAGGGTCGCCGACTACCAGAAAAGGATTAAGGCAACCCGTGACGTCCGAGTCCGGCCGCGTTACTTTCAAGTCGGCGATTATGTGCTAAGAAGACGCGAAGCTAGCCAACCTCAAGAGGGAGGAAAATTAGCGCAAAACTGGGAAGGCCCGTACGTAGTGTCAGCAGTGGTACGCCCGGGCACCTACAAGCTAGAGACGACCACTGGACGCTCGGTCGACCGGACTTGGATCTCGGAGAATTTAGTGATGTTCCGACAGTAAAATGAGTAGACAATGTTGTAATTTCCCATTTTTTCTTTTCTTCCCGCTCGCCCTTGTTGTATTTTTATTTCGAGACCATCAGAGCTGGCTCGAGTGATTGTAAGGTTGTTACTTTGATATCCGCAATGAGAATCACCTTTTCACCGAAGACAAAAATCCCGCCGACATGCTGTGTCCGGGACCGGCTTATGGCCTTTGTTGCCCGAATGACCACATTGTCGCTTAAACTTACGGCCTTTGTTGCCCGAACGACCACAATGTCGCTTAAACTTACGTCCTTTGTTGCCTGAACAACCACAATGTCGCTTAAACTTACGGCCTTTGTCGCCCGAACGACCACAATGTCACTTAAACTTACGGCCTTTGTTGCCCGAACGACCACAATGTCGCTTAAACTTACGGCCTTTGTTGCCCGAACGACCACAAGGTCGCCCAGACTTACAGCCTTTGTCGGTTAGTCCGACCGGCATTTGACCGACCGTCATAGCCGCTCGGACTCGGGGGGCTATAACACGCGTCTTTTCGCGTTCCCCTCTTTTGCTTGATAGTCCGACCGGCAATTGACCGACCGTCATAGCCGCTCGGACTCGGGGGGGCTATACACGCGTCTTTTCGCGCTCCCCTCTTTTCCTTGATAGTCCGACCGGCAATTGACCGACCGTCATAGCCGCTCGGACTCGGGGGGCTATACACGCGTCCTTTCGCGTTCCCCTCTTTTCCTTGATAGTCTGACCGGCAATTGACCGACCGTCATAGCCGCTCGGACTCGGGGGGCCATACACGCGTCTTTTCGCGTTCCCCTCTTTTCCTCGTTAGCCCGACCGGTAATTGACCAACCGTCATAGCCGCTCGGACTCGGGGGGCCATACACGCGTCTTTTCGCGTTCCCCTCTTTTCCTCGTTAGTCTGACCGGCAATTGACCGACCGTCATAGCCGCTCGGACTCGGGGGGCTATACACGCGTCTTTTCGCGTTCCCCTCTTTTCCTTGATAGTCCGACCGGCAATTGACCGACCGTCATAGCCGCTCGGACTCGGGGGGCCATACACGCGTCTTTTCGCGTTCCCCTCTTTTCCTCGTTAGCCCGACCGGCAATTGACCGACCGTCATAGCCGCTCAGACTCGGGGGGCCATACACGCGTCTTTTCACGTTCCCCTCTTTTCCTCGTTAGTCCGACCGGCAATTGACCGACCGTCATAGCTACTCGGACTCGGAGGGCTATACACGCATCTTTTCGCGTTCCCCTCTTTTCCTTGTTAGTCCGACCGGCAATTGACCGACCGTCATAGCCGCTCGGACTCAGGGGGCCATACACGCATCTTTTCGCGTTCCCCTCTTTTCCTCGTTAGTCCGACCGGGAATTGACCGAACGTCATAGCCGCTCGGACTCGCGGGGCCATAAGGGACCCGAGCGACGGATAGCTCACGTGTCGAGTGGATAAAATCGAAATCGAAAGGAAAACGGCGGAAAAATCGAAACATGCAAACGTAAAAATTTAAGGCTTGAAGCACAAGCGAAAAAAAAAAAAAAAAAAAAAAAAAAAAAAAAAAAAAACGAGCGACATCACTTAGCGACCAAAAGGGGGTTGTTCAAAAAGGGAACAATTAAATGCCCGGTACAATAGGGACCGAACTCCCGAACGAAGTTTCAGAACTAAAACCTACCAAACGCCAACTAACGGTGGCCTAACTTGCGGGGTCTTTTTCGGTGGCTGCGGAGTGCTCGCCTGTGTCTGCCTCGGCGTATGGCATCGGGCCGGGATCGGCAACGCTCTCCGGCAGATTGGCTAAGATCGTATCGAGGTCATCCCCCTCGAACACTTCGGATAGAACAGACCTCACCTCCCAGTGTGTGTCCCGTTGACCGGAAGCATAAGCCTAGTTGTCGAAAGTCCACACCATATCCTCGGCCACCTTGTGCTTGATGAACGCCCGGAAAAACTGCTCAGCAACTGCCGAGTCTTGGCAGAGAGAGGCGGTCAAGCCAACCGGGTCCCGCAGTCGTAAGCGAAGGTCTTCAGCCTCCTTTCGGACCTCGTCGGTCTCTCCGATCGCCTTCTTGGCGATGGACTTGGCAATCTCCCTGCCATCTTCAGACGCCTTCAACTTCTTCCGTAGCTCTTTCACCTCCTTCTTGAGATAGTCGCTCTCCGACCCGCTCTTTAACCGGTAGTAGAGCGAGGTGAGCACCCGGGTAAGCTGTGATAAAGCTTGTTAGCCGGAGTGGCAGTCATAAAAAAGACCAGATTAGGAAAAAACATACCTACACTAAGTTCTGAGCCCCGCGCTCGGAAACTTGTTCCGGGGTCCACCTGGCCATATCGGCCTCGGTCGGGAAGATGGCGCTCATTTTCGCCAACGAATTTCCCGGTAAATCGCCGCCCGTCAGGGAGTTCATGAGAGGGGTCAGCTCGGGAGGACTTTGGCGGCGCGACCGTTTGACAGCGCCTTCAAACTCCCCCACCTTCTCCTTGCCACGCTTGCCCGTGGCCTTAATGATCTGCAAGTCCGACCCGGTGCTCAAGGTCGGACCCGTCTCCTCGACCCGGGCAGTCACATCAAGCGGGACTGCGGTTGGGACAAAGGACACGGGAACCGCCGTCAAAGGGGCGTCGGATGTCGTTACCTTCTTCCCACCAAGGGCCGCTTTAGGCCGGGGAAGTTTGACGGTCGAAGGAGCCGTTTGGAAGCTACGACCGGGCTTCATACCTGCAAGGGAAAAACAACCGAATAAGCCATATGAAAAGAAAAGGGAGGAAGTCCCCTCGTCCGAAGAGGTACTACACGAACAGACCTTCCCGTTCGGAAGCCGGTGCTGCTGGTTGCGCGGCCACAGTTACCTCAAGGCATTGAGGAACGTACTTCTCCAGCAGGTCGTACCTGGGCGGCTCGAGATGGGCCTCTTCGTATTCGTTGGCCGATCGGAAAATCAAGAACTCGTAATATACGGAGGAAATCTTTGCTGCCGCGGTCTTCAGAGCCCGCGTAGGCTCGGGACGCTTGCATGCGGTAAAGTGAAGGGACCAGGATCTCTTAACCGGGAGTTGCCAAGGGTACTCGATAGAAATTAACCGGTTTTTCCAACCCCGGTTGTTCTCCGGTAGGTCGAGAATGTTGCAGTGACGACTCCGACTTTGGGCGGCTAAGAACCCGCCCCCATACCGAGCCGCAAGCGGGTAAACCGAATACATGAAGTTGAATAAATCTCTGGTACAGTCCAAGTCATGCCGGGCGCAAATCTGCGGAAAGCACGCTATGATCCGGTGCACGTTGGGGCAGATTTGGCCCGGGAGAACGCCGTAATGTTTCATGAAGGTGGGGAGAAAGGAGCTAAAATGATAGGTCAAGGGGGTCTTGATGGAATCAAGGTGCATCCCAAGCCAAAGCCCCTGCGTCCGTTCCACGACCGTCCCCTGGGACCTCCGGGTGCTGAACAGAACCCGCCCGGTCAGAAGGGTAGCAGCATCCTCCGCCTCTTTTTTGGTCAGCCGACTCTGATGCTTCTCGACGGACATACTACTCAAGAAGATCCTCTTCTTGGTCATCAATTCGTCGGCTAAGCGGGCTGCCGACCTGGGGGACAGCGAAGAGTCGAGAGTTGCGGCCATGACGCCTGGCGGCAATCCTTGTCCTTTATTGCCGTACGTCGGGGGATCCTGACTGGAAGTATCGGGTGCTTCCGCAGGGTCATCGCGCTCTCCCGACCCGGAACGTGCCCGGTCCTCCTCGGCTGCACGATCGAGCGCGAGGGCATCGCTCGGCATATCGCGACTATCGGGCCGTCTAGCGGCCGTCACGTTGCCAGCATCTGCCCGAGGGGTGCGAGCATCGCCACTGCTGGCTGCATCCGAGCGCCCAGACGAAGAACCTTCGGAAGTTGTTCTCGCCGACCCGTCATCACTACCGGTCGCGTAGTCCCGAGCCGAGCGGTTTTGACTGTCGGAGCTTGACATAGTTCCACCCCTAAGAGACCAAGGGGGAGAGGTAGTGTTCAAACGTTAGTGCCCCACTTAAAAGCGCCCAAGTCGCCGACCAACCGTTTCCTAAGGGCCTAAGCGATCCTAGAACGTTAAAGAAAAGGGATAGGAAAAAGAAAGGAGACGTTCACGTACCGATTGGAAAGACTTAGAAATCGCGTCAAGGAGAAAACGGATGGCCGCTCGGGAATGTCCGGTTGTCGCTAGGAAAATGTGAAAGCACAGTGGGACCCCAGCCAAACCACTATTTATAGGGGTAAAGGTTGGCGGGAAAACGCTTCAGCGCCTCACTTTTCGGACCCGTATCTCGAGAGATCCTCTGGCTGACGCGTGCCTCTCCTCGCCCAGAGACGGTCCGTGATGCGAGTGCAGGTGTACCGCGATCCACACGGGTTCGACCCCCAAAAAACATCACCACGAAGCTTGGCTCGGGCTCCTCCTCCAGGGAAGCATCGTCCGACCCACGAGCCAGGGGGGCTATGTGATAGGGATATACGCCCGGGGTCCGAATGTCTCACGACCGGGTAACCACCACACGCCCGGGGTCCGAATGTCTCACGACCGGATAACCACACGATCGTCCCACCGAGGCCGTGTGGCCTGCCCCGACCGACCGGAACCGGGAATCCGCGGGGTGCTCCGGGCGACGGGGTCTCCCCGGGATCAAAACATTAGGCGGACGGACCCACTGGTCGATGTCAGTCGAAGTCCGGTTGAGAAGACACCACTTAAGGGGAGAGAAGTCAAATCCTGGGCACCGTGTGGCAGGTGGTCATACGACCACTGGCGGCGCCCGGTGCATGTCCGCCACGTGTCCACCATGCCGAAAACCCGGCAGCACCTACCTTTAGGACCCTATATATTGCACATTAAATGCATTGTGGAGGGGACTTTTGGCAGAGGAAAGACGAGAGCTTCCCGACCCACTAGAGGGATCCGAGCCTTGCCCGCGCCCGTACAAATACATCACCCTGTATTAGCAGTATCAGACGATATGTTCCATCCTCAGACCTCAGCTCTCTGCAAAAGAAAACCAGCAGGGGATACTAAAGGTTAGAAAGAAGAAACATTTTTATTTTAGAAAGTAGAAGTTTCACAATTCCATTTAAATTATTACCTTTTTCTTAGCATCTTCCTCTTCACGGTGTTTCTGGAAAGGTGTCTTCTTCCGTGAACTCATTTTCTCACCATATATTCAAATTGAAGGAGACTACAACATCATAACAAATGGCTACAAGGTCCCTATACTATAGCATTTTGTTCAGTTTAATCCTTACATCTTTATTTTGTTTAATTTAATCCCTGTACTTTCAAAAGTGGTGCAATTAAGGACAATAGTTAACGGTGTTAATATTACTGTTAACTTAGTTTACGTGGCGCTAACGATATTTATATTCCTACTCGTATATTATTTATAAATATTTAAAATTAATTATTTTTACCACCAATATATTAAATTAGTATGTTCAAAATAAATAATTTCAATCATGTTCCTAATAAGATTAGAACAATTGTCCTTAGTTCCACTATTTTTTAAAATAGATGGACTAAATGAATATGATAAGTGTAAAAGACACGCTTTTAAGGTCCATTTGGGGTGAATTGTAAACCAAAAACAATCATTTGTGTATCCATTATGTGCCAATTTAACTATGTTTCGCATATTATCATAAATTACCACCACACTTTGTGTTTTATATGTTTTTAGGTAAGTTTCGGGCTAAAACAACGTAAAGTGGCACAACTCGTAGGAAAGCGGGACAAAATAGGCAAGCCAAAGGAACCACGCAGGCCACAACGTCACGTTGTAACGTGCGTTGTGGGAAGACAGAAGCAGAGCTGATTTCCAGAAAGTTCAATGCGCATCACAACGTGCGTTGTGACGGCCGTTGGACGGAATAAGTTCTCGAACAACGTGCGTTGTCCGGGGCGTTGAAGGTGGCGTGGAAGAGCTGCGAAAATGGATTGAAAGGGGAGGCTATTTAATAGTTTTTAGATAAGAATTTTAGAGGACTTTTGGGACAACTTAGAACTTTACACTTTTACATTTTTAGATTTGAGAGGCTTTGAGAGAGAGATTTTGGTAGATCCATACTTGGATTGCTTGGGAGATTCCTTGAAGGAAGAGATTGACAACCTCCATTTCAAGAGATTTTGCAAGACTTCTTCTTATTTTCTAATCTACTTGTTTGGTATAATCTCTACTCTTTTCATTTTGATTGCTTTGATTAGGTTTAGATTCATGAATGCTTTTATGATTTCTATGGCTATTGTAAGCTAGATTAGCTAGGGTTTGAATTGTGAAAGTGTGTGATGATGATGCCTTTGTGACTTAGTTCTTGAATTAGGGATTGATTGATTGCATTGCTTATATGTCTTGTTGTTGGGGATTGATTTGTTTGCATATAAGGAGCTTGATCACCTCCTATGATTGTGTTGAGGGATTGACCTTTGCTAGGTCAATTTAAGCTCCCATCCTTAGCATTTCCTAGCTTAAGGAATCATACGAGACTTGGTTGGGAAGGAATTGTAGGCAAGGTATTCGATGAAAGGTTTAGGTGAGCCCTAAACAAGTCCTAGTAGTCTAAGTTACGAAAGGACGCAAGCCACTCCCTAGACATAACATTTGAATCCTCTTTCCCTATGTTAAATGATCTTAAGAGCATCTTAATCCACACTAAGCAATTCAACCATATCTACTTTACATTTGTTTACAACTTGTAGTAATTGTTCATTAGGCCCACTACAATTATCCATCTTATGTGTGTTAACAACATCGATGTCTTTAATTTCTGAAATTAGCAACTTAGGACTAACTCTGATTTGCCGTCCTTGAGAACGACATAATCCGGGATTCATCCCAACACAAACACCCTTCTTGACATACGTTTTCGACTCATCAGAATAGAATAAAGGTACACGGACTAAATTGAACAAAACACTATAGTATAGAGACTTCATACGTAATTTGACCCAAAACAAAATTATCAGTGCAAGAGTCCATGTAAGTAACACAACTCTAGACAGCTTAATTAGAAACAAACTAAATGGGGAAAAAATGCATTTGAAAGATTTTGTACACGATCGTTATCAACACATTATAGTCTAACGAACTTGATTTATTACAACAGGCTACAATGATAACAGGCTACAATGCTTACTTCTTGTCACCCTGCATATTATATGCATGCATAAACAACTTGAAGGTTTACATACTTGGAAAGAAATGGCATGCATGCATGCATGCATTATATTATATATATTACTAATTAAATAGATCAATGAAAGCTACGACAGTCTGTGCAGTAGTGAGAGAAAGGAGCCATATTGCTGCAATGGTTGAAATCCCTGCCCACGGACTGTGAAAGTAATCGCGTCTTAGTTTTGCCTTCAACACATTCCACGGCATATTGCAATGTTGAATCAATTTTTTGTACACATCCCCGTAATAGAAGTCATCATGGGAATATGTAACCCCTCTGCATAGATTGTTAAAAAGATCACTCACCATTGCGTCATCACCTAGTCCACTTATAAAAATTCCCTTCTTGCGAAGTAAGATGACATCCTTGTCTGTATTGATAAGATCATCCATGAATAAGGCAAAACTTACGAAATGCTTGGGATGCACATCAGGCGAATATAGCTCGTAAGCTATGAGATTTTTGAAGAAGCTCTCTGAATCATCGTAGAGACCAAAAGAGGGGATCTCTAGTACGTTGTGATTGAAGTTTATATCAAATAGACATGTGGTTTCATTGGAGTTAATGCTACCAATCTTTCCAACCTTTTTGAAGTCAACTCCAGCTTCTCGAAGCTCAGTTGCAGTAGGTATATGATATGATTCAGCGTCAAGGTCGTCTGTAGTACTTGGTTGTTGTTTCCCAAACTTGCAAAGGAGACAAGTGCAATTCCCAAATTTGCAAAAGATACAAGAATGGGATTCAATATCAACGCCTTGTGCAGCATTTGCTTGTGGTTGTTTCGAAAACCAGCAACAAAAACATGTTGAATCCCTCTCCTGCTGAATGCATCCATTAGTACTTAGGCGGGGTTGGCAAAGAATGTGCACTGCCTCAAGTAAATGTTTTATCTCTTCGATATTGACATTGGTAGAGTGTATAGAGATAACATTCATCTTTGGTAGGACAAATCCTAATGTTCTTTTCACCATCTCCGAGAATTCTAGTTTGCAAGGAATAGTAATCATGTCATAGAGTTCTCGCAGAACAAAGAAAGGGAGTTGGTTTTCCAAAAGCAGCATGTCACGAACAACACTATTAGCTGTCCCACTAATTCTGAAAATGGTATCATATTTCTCTACTTCTTCATTCTCGTAGCCCAGTCTAATAAGAAATTCCACTATAAAGCAACCATCCAACAATAACATTTTCACGAATTCATCGCCACTAACTTTTATGCCGTGGTCGTCACCATAATACCTTTTTGGTCTGTCTTTCAAATTCTTTAATTTCTTCCAACAATCCGCCAAACCGAATCCTTTTCCACGTGCTCTCTTCAAAAATGATTTTAAATACAATCCCTTCAACCTTTCCATCTTGCTCAATTCCGGCTTCCCATGATGGTAAGGCCCGATGGAAATGATCAAGGGTGTATAAGCATCCCGGTTTGTTTTACGCAGCTCCTCCTGCACTTTGAATAAGCATGCCTCTGGAGATAATTGTTTTACATTTTGAATCTTTTCAGAAATGCTTTGTAATGCTTGGCAGTTTGCTAAATCTTGTTGATGGCTCCCTCCCTCCATGCCTTCAATCATACTACCACCTGCTGCCTGTTATTTGAATCATTATAGTCCACACTAAACTTATTTATTCTACTCTGATCTGTACGACACAAACTTAATTGTTTAATTTCAATAATAATTTTTATAAAGAGCATTTATAATCAATTACAAAAATGTACAATAGTTTATCATGGACCAAGTGCATGTTGGTACATTCACCTAACAGATCATTGTTTTTTTCTCTTAAATTTATTTCTTTTTTTTTTTTACAAATAAAATTATTGTATAAAAAATATTTCATTAAAAAATTCTAATTGAAATCTTTTAAATGATAGACACATAATTTTTTTTAGTACTGCTGACTTTATTACAATGCAATATCTATTGCAATGTAGGCTCGATCTCATGATCTCTCATTTGAAAGAGTCACTACATGTCACTAGACAACAATGTCATTAGTTTTAAATGTCCACTTTAATCTCTCTTTTTTTTTTTTTTTCTAAATGTTCCCCTTTAGTCCAAATATTATTGTGGCATGACCATTATTCTCTGTCAACAAAACCGTTTAAACAATGTTAAATACAAGAGAATTCCGGTCTATTCAGTTCTAAGTGTTCAAATCTTTCTTTTTTCTCATAGATTTATTTGTGTCATTCTACTTTTAGTCCTTTTATTTTTTTTTCAAAACATCCTTGTTGGTCCTAGCATTATTGTGCATGATCGTTTTTTGTCCTTCGCCAACAAATATGTTTAAATGATATTAAAAATGACGTTATTAACACTCAAAATCCTTTTTTTTTTTTTTCTTCTTGATAATAAAATAGTTATCAATATATGAGTTTACTGCAAAATCCAAAAAAGTGCAATTGAAAAAATCACAAGTCTACTTCATTGCAAACTATAAGTCTAGTGCATAAATCTACTTCACACAAATCCACAAGACTTGTGGTTCTGTTACTAAGGAGAAAAAATAAGGGTTTTGAATGATTAATAACGTCATTTAAACATATTTGTTGACGAATTGAAGGTCAAAGAAATGGTCATGACACAATAATGTTTAGGACTGATGTGGATGTTTTGAAAAAATAGACTAAAAATGGAATGACACATATAAATCTAGAACCAATAGTGAGTGCATTTTGTATTTTGTATGATTTTGGGGCTGAATTGCAAACATTTGGACAAGATTTTAGGCGTATTTAGAAGATTTCATAAACGAGAATGTTGCACGACGACATGCACAAGCGTGAAGGCAATTTATATCGTACACCACGACGCACATTGCAATGTGCATCCAGTCACAAAACGTCGCCGTTTCAATTGCTGTTGACAGGGATTGACGTAACGGACGCCACTTCGTCCGTCCAAACGAACCAAACCCCATTATGTATATTCAGTTAAAAGTTTCTGTATATTGTGTTATGAGTTTATATGTATTATGTTAAGAGTTTATGTGTATTCAGTTAAGAATTTATGTGTATTATGTTAAAGTTTATGTGTATTCTGTTAAGAGTTTATGTGTATTATGTTATGAGTTTATGTCTATTATGTATTATGTTAGATTTTGTATATTCTGTTATGAGTTTATGTGTATTCGAAACAGAGAATTTTTTTTTTGGACAATGCACGACGTCATTTTGGGTAGGGCGGGACGCACAATGCATTGTGCGCCCTAATGCACGATATAACGACTGAAGCGTGAAAGTCAAATGGATGAATGTAGGCAAATTATTGTATGGACCATGAATATAGGGTACATTTTTAATATACTAAAGGTACATTATTTGTGTACTGAAGGTACATTATTTGATATTATATACGGAGTATAAAATAATGTACCCTCAAATAATGTACTTTTAGTATACAAATAATGTACCTTTAGTATATTAAAAATGTACTTTTTATTTATTGTCCACACAATTGTGTGGACCATGGTCCATGCAATAATGTTTGGTGAGTGTAACACCAGTCGTTATATCGTAGACCGCGGTGCACGTGCACCGCGGTCAAAAACGGTGGCGTTTCTTTAAGTAAAGAAACGACTCGCCGTTACCGTTAACGGAATCTGCATGTTTGGTGTATTAAACATCAACTGACACTACAGTATATCCAAACCAATACTGTCTCACGACAAATGAAACTGCAGTTATATCAAAATGATACTGTAGTTGTGGTGAAATGAAACGGCAGTGTATATAAAATGAAACTGAATAACATTTCACTTATTTGAGTGTATATTGTACAATGAAGCTGTAATTATATCAAAATGGTCATGTAGTTGTGTTTTAATAAAACTATAGTGTATATAAAATAAAATTGAATAACATTTTCACATATTTGAGTCTATAAATATCGAATGAAACTGTAATTATATCAAAATGAAACTGTAGTTGTGTTGAACTGAAACTGCAGTGTATACAAAATGAAACTAAATAACAGAATCACTTTTTGCGGACGGGTGCGGAACGACAGAAAACAAATGTCATTTCTTTTCATTTAACAAAACGACTTCGTTTTGATGCGCGGTGCATAATCGATTATGCACCACGGTGCACGATATAATTTGCGATGTAACACTTGGTATTTTCAGAACACGGTTCATGGCCCGTACGTGTGTATAGTACGGAGCTCATACGTGGCATCCCTTACTCAGTATCCCCTCAGTACGGACGTAAGTGGGTTAGTAAACCTTTCTGGATGTCCCAGTACGACCGTATTGCGACTCGTAAACCTTTATGGCTTGGTTCATAAAAATTATTTTGGGTAGCCTCGCACTAAGTTAGTATGAGCGAACTGCTAAAACTTTCTGGGTAACTCTATACATGGCCCGTACGGGCGTACGACGGCTCGTGCATCATTCTAGAATTTTGAAATTTTCCTAAGTACGGGCGTACTTCCTAGCATGTAACTTTCTATCCTCTCGTGTATGACAATAGTACGGGCATACGTAGCTCGTCTACGCTTAGCCGAGGAAAAATATATATCTTCATATTATTATTATTTTGACATTTCAAAATTATTTTGCAATATGGTTTATAATTATATAATTAGTTTTTTTTTTTTTTTTGAAAAATATATGGGTGCTTCATTAGAAAAATGCTGATAAAATGTCTGGTGGGTGGCTATCCCAATACATAGCAATATTCTGCTGATAAGCCGTAGCAGCTAATGCATGAGCTAAATAATTGTCTGATCTAGGAATAAATTTAAATAAACAATGCTGAAATAAAGTGGCAATTTGCCTGCAGTCATTAATAGCATAGCCCACATAGGAGCGAATCGTAGTAGTCGGTGTTGCAAGATAGCGTTGCAATGTCAAACAATCCGTGTATAACTCAATATTCTGCTCCCCTCTCCCCTTCAACCATGATAAAGCCTCTTTGCATGCCAAGGCTTCGGCCATAAGTGGTGTCAAACAAGTTGACAATGGTGCATTGAAAGCCGATATATATTCTCCATTTGCATCGAACAAAACCGCCCCTACGGTGGCCCGTCCCGTGTCGTGTGCATACCCTGCGTCGACCCGACACCTTCTCAAACTCGGCATTCCATTCTCGGCAGCGCCATGGACAGCTTCGGCAGCGTCGGTCCCGGTACTGGCGGGCAGTGGTGCTGGTTGGCGAATCGGGCGTGTCATAAGCCATGCATCCTTGGCGGTCATAGCGGCTCGGAGTATGGAGCGTGGCCGTGGCAGACATGCCTCCCACACCGCTCGATTCCGCGCTCTCCAAATGTTGTATAGAATTGATGCTGCATATAACATTCCATCAGAATCTAAAACATTTTGAAGTTCCTCAAACCAAACATGAAAAATATTCGTGACAATGTTGGGGATTGGAAAGTTTGATTGTTCCCAAATGTTTCTTGCATAGTCACACAAGACTAAAGCATGCATTGTATCTTCTTGTGATATCCCACACATGGCACAATAAGGGCTCACATCCACCCTCTTTATAAGTAAGTTTGTAGTAGTGGGTAGTATATCACAAATGGCTCTCCAGAGGAACATTCTCCATTTTGGGGGTATTTTGAGTTGCCATAGAGATAGCCAATTCATAAACTCGCCACTTTGGCTCTCGTAGTCTCCCACTATCCGCCTGTATCCACTCTTCACAGAATATAGTCCTTTTGGGTCCCCATGCCAATACCATGTATCATTGTAGTCCAGGGAGACAGGTATTCTCATAATTCTTCCCACATCATCAGGTTGGAATAAATCTGTTAGAATGTCATTATCCCATGTTCCTGTTTGTTGATCTATTAACCCCCTTACTCTTGATCCTTGTAATTGTACTGGCATTTCCGTTCGTATCATAGGGTCGTCCTCATCTTGTAGCCAAGGGTGGGTCCATATAAAAGTTGTTTCCCCATTTCCGATTCTTCGCCTGACCCCACTACAAATTATACTCTTTGCTGCCATAATACTCCGCCAACAGAAACTGGGGTTATTTCCTACCTGTGCATCAAAAAACGTTCCTTTTGGAAAATACCGAGCTTTATAGACACGAGCCACTAAAGAGTCAGGTTTAGTGAGCATTCGCCACGCCTGCTTTCCCAACATTGCCAGATTAAATGCCCGTAAATCCTTAAATCCCAATCCCCCATATTTCTTTGGGACACAAAGTATATCCCAAGCCTTCCAGTGTATTCGTCTATCACCTCCCGAGTCCCACCAATACCTATTCATGGTCCTCTCAATTGCCGTACATACTGATAGTGGTAGTAGAAAGACACTCATTGAGAAGGTAGGCATGGATTGTGCTACACTTTTCAATAATATCTCTTTCCCTGCTTGGGATAGTAATCTTTTATTCCAAGACCCAATCCTTTGGCGTATTTTATCTTCAATATAAGCAAAGGTTGCCTTCTTATTCCTTCCAACAAACGAGGGTAGTCCCAAATATTTGCCAAAATTCGGGGCCTGTGTCACTCCCAAAACCTGAGCCACATTATCCCTGTCATTAATTCCTGTATTTCTGCTATAGCAAATATTTGACTTGTGGTAGTTAACCACCTGTCCAGATAGGTTCTCATATGCTGTCAGACAT